AACTAGATAAGTTATTTTATTAGACCTAATTCTCGCTTTTACTAAAATAATAAATATAGCTTATATTTCTACTAAAATAAAAGAAATAGACGAGCTATTTATTATAGTTAAAGTTCTATAAACTAATTAAACGAACCTAGCCCTAAAAAACAAATATAAGAAAGCCCGGGAAAATACAGATTTATAGGAAATATTAAATAGCTATATATTTTATAATAAAAGACTTATTATATTAGATAGATATAATAATCTATAAACCAGGCTCTTATAATAAATCCATAATATAATAACTATTATATATCTTAGTTAAAATAAGACAAAAATTCTAGTTTAGAAACTTTACTAATAGCTTACTTTTTTTATAAATATTAATTACTTTATAATAAACTACTATAAATATTAAAGGTCTTATAAGCTAAGAAATAGAATACTAGGCCTATTATATCTATTACTAGTTCCTCTAAGAATATAAGACAATTTGTTTATAAATTTCTATATTTCTAGTTCTATAAATAAGAAATATAATAATATATTTATTATAGTTAATTAATTATTTAAATAATATATAAGCCTACTAATAACTAAAAATACTATAGCCAGAACTATTACTGGCCTATTTTACTATTATATCTAGTAATTCCGAGAATTTCCCCTTATTATTATAAGTAATTAAAAACCCTAATTTATTTTAGACTTTATAAATAAACTATTAAGATTAACTAGAACTAAGCTAAAACTCTTAACTATAGAATATATTTAAACTAATAGATAAACAGAAATTATTAACTAGATTATTAATACTCGACTTTACTCTTTTATTAATTACTTCTAGAATAATTAAGTAAATTTACTCCCGGTATTTAATATTATAAGTATTACTTATTTATATAAATTAACTGGCTTATTTTCCTTAATAGCCGATTATAGATATAAACCCAGGCTAAACTTTAACTAGATATTACTAATAATAAAGTTTAAAATACTAAAAGAAAAACTTAATTAGGAAAAAGTATAATAATAGGCTAAGAGAATTAATACTACTATTAATTATACCCGAGAATATATAGTAATAGTTTAGAAATATTAAGCTAAATAAGCTAATAAGAAATAGTAAGAACTAGACTTTAGTTTAGGAAATATAATCTATATAATTAAAAAGATATAGAAAACAAACTATTTATTTAATAAATTAGACTATTTCCTTACTAGACTATTTAAGATTAATAAAATAGTCTGCTATTTATATTAATTAGACCTTTTTCTATTATATAGGATTTAGATAATTTTCTATATAAATAGACTTTATAAGAATTCTATTAACCTATTATCTAGTTAGACTAATAAAAAACCTGGTTCTATTAAAGTTAATAGTAAACTCGAATAGGAAGTCGAAAAGATCCTCTTTTTTAAGATATTTTATAATAAGCTTTATTATAAGATTAAATAAAAGAAATAGAATATAAATAATAAATAATATCTTATATTAAACTTTAAGAACTTAGTACTTGAATTATATAAATTCTATAAGCAGAATTCTAGTAAAGTAGAATCTCTTATCTAACTAAATAAATGAATTTAGTATACTAAAAAAAACGAGTTTAATAAAGATTACCCAGATAATAATAAATCTTAATAATAAGGCCTTTATAACTAAAAGAAAAGAAAAAAAACCTAGATATTTTCCGGGTTTTATTTAAATCCTAATATATTTCCTTTATTTTATTATATTAGTATTTATTTTCTTTTCCAGAAATCTGGATAAAATATTTTCTTTTATTATACTAGATTATATTTTACTATCTAGGTAAATTATATAAAAAAAAAGTGAATTCTTAAAGCTAAGCTAAAGGTAAATACTTGCCTATATTAGTTCGAAATATTATTAAAAATTAAAGGAAATCTTCCTAACTACTTTAACTTTTATAATCTTAATTATTTATATTATTATTATTATCTTAATAGAATTATTAATAAAGACAAAATAAATAAGAAATTCTAGTAATATATTATTTATAACCGGATTAAATAAGGCTATTTACTAGATTCTGGATAACTTAAGTAATAGTAATAGTATCTCAAGTTTAGTAGCTACTACTATTATTAATATAATTACTAGCCAAACTACCTTTATAAACGAAAATAGTAATTCTCTTATTTAAGAATAAATTAATATATAAAATATAGCCCGTATTACTCTTAAAAATATATCTGAAATTATTATAGAAAATATCTTAGTAAAATATTCTAAGAATAATAAAATAGAGGTTTTAGTTACTAGTAATAATAAGTCTAATAGTCTAATAAGCGAAATAAATAGTACTAATAAGGGCTTTTTTATTAATCTTATAAAGCCAAATACTAAGAAAGTTAAAAAGAATAAGGCTAGCTTATTTAAGAAATATAAGATATTAAATAATAATAAGAATTCTAATAATAAAAAAACTAAGAATAGAAAGATTTCTAGTAATAAAAGAAACTCTAATTATAATAAAAGTAGCTAAACTAGTATTAAGATACTTATTATAACTAGAAAATATATAGTACTAAATAATAATTATTATATAAAGTACTAGTCTGAAACTAAGAGCTAGTAAATAATCTTAAAGGCCGAATTAAAGAAGTAATACCTTATAAATATTAATGAATTAGTATATAATACTATTTAGGAAGTCGAAAAACCTTTTAGAAGCTTTTATAAGACTAAAATTATATAGCTTAAGGCCCGGGAATTTAATAATAAAGTAGCTCAAGTAGCTGCCTTTAATATATAAGTTTTTATTATAAAGAAATAACTTGAGAATATATATATTAAGCTCGAGAAGGCCCAGAAGTTAATTAAATAGCTTAGAAATAGTATAATTAAACCAAATATTACTATTCTAACTAAGAAGAAAGGTAAGCAAGCTACTATATTAAAGCCTATATTAATAAATGGACTTAATCTATTACTTTTATTTAAAGACCGCCTAATAATAATAGTTCTAATATTAGCTATAGCCTATATAGTACTTTTAGACTATATTATTAATATAGGTATAGGTATAATACAAGTAATGAATACTAAGAACTAGCTAGAATATACTAGAAACTGAGTTATTCTAGTAAAGTTAAGATTATACTTTAATTATAAGTAAGCTATAGGAATTAGATAGAATAGGATTAATAGCTATTATTTCTTCTTTTTTCTTTTTCTATACTATAGCTAAATAATTCCCTAAATAAGGATATTTAGACTTCTTTTTAGAAGAGAAGTAATATAATAGCTAGTATAAGAGTATAATCTACTAAGGACAGGATATTAGAAATAGATATAAAACGAAGCTAAGCCGGAATTACTTAGACAAAATAATACTAAAGGTTAAAGTATTCTTCTTATTTTATTTTATAGCTGAGTATTTTCTAATATATGAGATTCTTTAAACTTTAAGCCTTTAATTATTATATTAATTCCGCTATTATAATATTACTAAAGTTTTATTATTTTACTAATACTTTTATTTTGAGTTCTAAATTAGTTTATTTGAAATCTTTTATAAAATTAAAGAAATTAAGCTTTAAATATTATTATAAATATAATAATTAAAGCTTGAAATATAAAATAAAAGAGTTCTTATAAAAATAAGTTAAAGCTAAAAAGAAAAAACTAGAATATAAGAAGTTATAAAAATATAAGTATAATTTATAGCTTATATAAGGCTTTATATCTTAAATTTCCTTATATATATTTCATATATTTTTCCTTAATAATATAACTATATTATATATATAATTATAGAACTTAAAAGTAACTAGTAATAACTAGAAGTAATAAATATAAGTAATATTAGTTAAATAATTAGATTGGAAACTAAATTATAATAAATATATTATAAAAGTTTTATATTAAATATTTTATTATTTAAAAAAATTATTTATAATAATTTTTATTTATTATTTATAAAATACTAATAAAAATAAATAAAATTCTTAAAAGAGAAATTAAAAAATTATAATTAATAAATATAATATTATATTTAAAGAATTTTTTAAAATGTATTTTTATTTTAGTTATATAAAAAAGTAATTTAGAGTTATTATTTATAAGTTTCGAATTACTTATTAAATAATATTATATAAGCTAAATTAATTCTTATATAAGGCTATTTAATTTTTGCTTTTCTATTATTAAAAACTAATGCTTTTCTTTAAATAAAACATTATCTTAAAACTACTTTTATTAGATTTATTAAGTAATTTAAATATAATAAAAGTACTTTAAGAAAAGAATTTCTTTTTAATAACTAAAGAACCTTAAAGATATTATTAAAGTTTATTATATTTATTAAGCCTTATTATTATTTATATAAATAATATAATAGTATTAAGCTTAAGTTACCTCGAAGTCTTATTAAATTAGGCTAACTTATTATGTGAAATATTATATATAGTATTATATATATATATATTACTTAATTATTTTAAAATATTTAAGAGTAATATAAATAAAGTATTAAGTAAAATATAAGTAATAAGAAATATAAGTAAATAGAGAGTATAAGTAAAACTTACTACTTTACTTTACTTTACTCTTTTCTTATACTAGTTTAGAGGAAATTACCTTTTTTTAAATTATAAACAAAGTTTTGGAATTAATAAATTATTAACGAGTTCCTGCCTAAATTCCCACCCCGCTTATAGCTCGCTTTTTTACATATCCGTAAAGCAGAATAACGAGGAAAAGGAGGGAATTAGCAATCGTCTGAAAATATATCACCGCCAAACGCGTATCTGACAAGGTCGGGCTGTAACGGCGCTGGCTAGGGCCAAAGGGGGGGTGGCTGTCACATGACTAGTTTCACCTAGCTAGCCGGCGTTTCAGTGGTTTTACGAGCCCATTCTCACTAGTCTGTGTTCTACAGGCCCATTTTCAGGCCTCGCTAAATTCAAGTCAATAGTTTTATGTCGCTTTTAATAGATAACCGCTTATTGTTTTTCTTTTAAACTAAAGCGCATAATATAGAAGTAGTTAAATTTATTTATTGACAATACTAGAATAAATTGAGTAATAGTTCAAAAAGTTGGGAATTCCCTTCAGTGGTCTTTAGCGAGGAAATTGCCCTGTACCGCACAGACTAGTGAGAATGGGCTCGTTAGCTAGTACTTCCCTCCCTTTATCCCCTTCTTCTTCCCTCTCTCTCTCCTTCTTCTCTTTAGCTTAGTATTTTCAATATATGAGATTCTTGGATCTTTGAGCCCTGGCCATTGCCTCGATCCCGCCGTCACACGGGCCTCCCCATTTCCAAGGCCTTAACAAACGGGCATCGACCACTCCGGTTCTATCATCTCTTCAAGGCCTCGTGTTCATATATTAATGCAATCGTAGCATTCCTTTTCCAATAACCTTTCCGGCAGGGAACCTTATTCCTTCGCCGTTCATCATGCCATGGACGTAACATTCTCCAACAAGTTGAAAAGCGCCGTGTGTTTTACTGCTTCTTGTAATGAACGGTACTGCACCACCATGGAAGATAGTGATAATGTCATCCCGCCTAACGCCAGGCGGGGCAATTCCGGCATATCCCTTCTCCGTAATCAAGAACTTCCATCCCTTGAAGTTTTCCTGGAGTGCCGAAAGATAGTTTTGAGCTTTTGCCTTTAGCGACACGAGACCCAGATTTGCCACGCAAACCCCAATTTCGCCAGCCCTTGGTTGTATCCGGGCGGGTGGACCTGTCGCAACGGATTTTTCCTTCACTCCCTGAGCCAGATAATCTCTCAGAGCTTCGTAGGACAATCTCATATCGAGGTTAGCAGAAGAGAGAGTTCTAGGGTGCGATGCTCCTGCGATGGGGATTTTCCACTTCAAATCTGCGGAGTTCTCCTGAGAGTAGAGCGAAAGCGAGTCAACCATTAAGTTGACCTCGTCGACATACGACTTCAACTCCTCGGGTAGGTTACTGGCGAAGCTGACTGAGGCTACTCTATCCACGAGAAGGCCGTAGATTTTCAACTCATCACTATTAGGATCGCATTGGAAGTTTGGCTCTGTGTCCAGTGCAGCGGCCCATTTAGTCCCTCGGCTGGACAACGAATAGAGACTATCCTGTTTTGTTTCTGTCCAGTTAGGAATCCAAGATGGAAACCTTGCCTCTTCAGAGTTGATCCCTGCCCGATATAGCAGCTCCACGACCCCTTCTTTCTTGGCCAGGGCACATGCAAATCTACGAACGATGACCTCGAAATACGAGCTGTAATCGGGGTCGTAGGCAGAATTTTCCCCGTCGCTAGCGAGCCCTAACAGCGCGAAGAAGTGGTCTCGCTGCCAAGTAGACTCGGTATATCGGAAAGATTCGAGGAGCTCAAACAGGGGCAATCGCGTCTTGTTTGCTTCGAGCTCGCGTTGCTTTGCTAAGGTAATGAAGTAGGCCCAATTCTGTCGAACCAGTGAGAACACGTCGGATGAGACGTCGGATACACGTTGGATGACCTCGACGGCGCTGAAGAGATCGTTCCAGTCCACAATCCATGCCCCGCAGATGACCCGAACACTAGGAGCAACGACGACCTCTTGAATCACCCATGCCCGGCGGAACCAGGGGCGTTCGAACAGAGCACCGATCGCTGTCCATATCGGATCGTTTTGGAGCGGTATGGGCTGTCCATCCCAGGAAGGTGGAATTTTGGAGAGGCCATCAGGCCACTCTCCGGAGTTCTCCTTGATGGCATCCTTCGCCTGTATTTGCATCAGTGTCTCTAGGGCAGCATCGCTTTGCTCGTCATTTCCAAGGAACGCCAGGACGCAGGTGGAGTTCTGGAAGATGCGGGGGAGGAGTCTAATTTGCTTAGCTTTCTCCGCTCTCGCTTCCTGGTCGTTCTCGTCTTGATTGATACAGAGCGCGTCAACCCATAGCACCATGGGCTCTTTCGGGTGTCGCACACATTTCAGAGCAGCATGCAAGGACAACGTTAGTTTAATGGTACCGTCTGGCGTCCACATGGAATTCGTCATGTCCGTAGTGCCCCATGTGTACGAAAGTGCTCTGAAATCCCCAGGGTCCTTCAGCGAAGCGTGGTAAACTACACCCCGAAGCTCCGCGTCCCTTGGTCCAGGCAAGAGGCTTAGAAGACGCATCTGACCGTCCTTCAAGTGCTTGTATTTGTAATTTAGCGGTGGGGCTGACTTCCTTGACGTATTGGAGACCTTCAGGGGTTTCATGAATTGGGTTGCGTGAGAGGCAGGTTCTGCTACAGATGGAGTTTCTGAAGACTGGTTTAGACCATTGACATACCCGAAAAACGGACGTAAATCATATAATGTAGGCTCCATGTTATCCCACATTGATTGATTCGGTTGCCATGGCGTGTCGACAGGCGCCAATCTTTGAGTAGTGTTGCACCACGAAGACTGGTGGTTTCTGTGAGCTCCTGCATTAGAGGTCGGCGATGGGGGCTTGTCCTCAATGCTTGCAGTCAAGCCCCAGAGTTGGGGCAGAACAAATCGATCGGAAGTGTACAGGCTCCAAGGATCAACGAAGAGGTCAATGCGGGGGTCGACATAGGCGTTGCAGACCCTCACTAGAATGAGCACATCCTTTGGCATTTCCTTTAATTTCGAATCCATCCGAAATTTTCGCATCTAAACGGTTGCCATGGTTAGAAATTACTTTCCAAGCAGGAGGTACACCTTCAAAGGCAGTCAGTAAGCGAGACTTACTCTCTCAAGCTGGGAAGTATCCCAAGAAAAAGTCGACTTCTCATCTCCAGGCGTCACAGCAATATCAAAGTGAAACGTCGGCGGCCCAGTCAAGCTATTCATTGGATCCTTCCAACATACAGCGGCCCAATAGCCACTCTCAGTAAGAAATTCCGCTACCTTCTGTGCCGTACGCCTATCTGAGATTGTGAAAGAAGCAGAAGTTCCGGTGTCACCCGTAAATGGCTTATAGCCTGCTCTGTGTCGCAACAGGCTTGTCCAATGAATTTCTGGGTCGTACTGTTTTCCTAATGCATTCTGGAAAAGATTCGAGGTCTAGATCGGGTTCTATTAGTAGGAGCGCCTTCAATTCTTCATACGCCCTATGAATCGCGTCTGTTTTACTCACAATGAGTTCACCGAGATATAAGATTTCTATTAAAGTGGCTCGTGTGGTGATGGCGCAATTATCTCCACGATCGGTAATGCCATTGAAATGAAGTTTTTGAGAATTTACTTTTGTGAAATCCATGAATGGCAGACTCCTGCTGGAATCTACGCTCGGAGAGTCCCCATACCGAACGATGCCGGATAGGGTTCGCCGAAAACTAGACGATAATCCGTCAAGAAAAGCGCTTAAGTCGTCTTCTAAATCCATCTCTGGGAACGGAGATTTGCTCGTTGACACGTCCCCTGAAAGGGCGGCATATTTTGACTTAGGATTCGTCGATTTCATAGCATCTGTATTTAGTGTTAGATTTACGTCCACTCAAGGAACGAAGGGAGTTTGAATGCCGTACCTCTTAGTGTAGTCTCGTTGACATGGATGCCTCGTTTTCGGAATTCTGATATGAGTTTGCTGGGTTGGGTGTTGCCCAAGGCCTTTTGCAGCAGACTTCGATGACTTGCATCCTCTATGCCGCAACGGTCCGCAATTCCCTCGACTAGGGCGAGAGGTGGTTCCCAATCGGAAATCTCCTCCGCTGTCATGAATATTTCCAAGCTCTCCGTGGTTGAAATGAATGCAACCTCGCCAACCCCGCTACCAACAAACTCGACACCATCGGGAGCGAGCAAGACATTTCTTTGTACAATTCTTTCTGCGCTCTTGACCTTAGCTCGTCGTATCTGGCTGCATATGGCGTCTCGATTTGCCTTCGCCTTAGGAATTAAGCTGCACTCTATCAGAACGACATGTCGTCTATAAGAATGGGCCGGATGGTATTTAGTTCAGGCGAACAAGAAGCGTATGATAAGAACACGACTCACGGTATAACAAAACCAGATCTGGCTCGTAGAAACTCCGTGCAAGACCAGTCCATGCTGGTAATGCCCCCTGCTGTAGTCTCACTTTTGACGAGAAGTGATAGCCGGCGGAAATCAAGGTCAAGAGCCGATAAAAGGGTATCCATGGATTCTAGGTCGTCCGCCGAAAATGCGAGTAGGCCTACGACGCCAAGAAAGCATTCTCTCAAGTGATCAAGATCAGCGACAAACCAATTGTTGTCGTCGCCCAGCACCTTAAGCGAGTCAAATTCTGCGTCGCCTTTACGTTCAAGTATCGGAAAGACACGCCTCGGCCTTAAAGGATTGACAGCTTGGGTAATCTTTTTGCCACTCATTCCCGCCATCGCTTGGTTTGCTTTGGTGAAGAGCTCAGATATTCGACTTAGTTCAGTCGAGTCTTTGATCAACGTAATTTCCGCGATCAGAGATCCAACTTCGCCTTCACCGCCCGCCAAAAGGCACCGAAATAAGGTAGTGCATTGGGGGTACTCCGCTTCAATGTTGAGTTTCCTGGCAATACATTCATCCAAACTGAGCCAGCACGATGTTGGTGTAGCCTCTGCTGATCCGCGTTTCGTATATATCAAATTATGCTTCTGAAAGGTCGTGCTGCATGCCGTTAGCGCTTGCTCTAGTACGTTCGTGAACTGCGCATACAAGATGAGTTCCCCGTTATTATTTGGATACTCATACTGGATTCGTTCGTATATGTGAGTAACTGTTTTCTCTGGGATGCCCTTAGTACCTGTCATGTGCTTTAGACATCGGAGATAATAGTGAATATCTCTCTTCACGGCGACCCCAAAGTGTTTAAGGAACTCCCATTGCTGATTTTCCGGATCTCTAATTTTCAGCGTTCGAGCAAAAGGGGATTCGTCCACAATATGATCAACCGCCGGCAGGAGTGTTCCTTGTAGGGGGAAACAGCCATTGTGGCAGACCGCTTCGAGAGCGCCTATAGCTGCTCTTACTGCAACCTTAGAGGCACGGCATGCTGTGTCCTCAAACGCACCGCCATCTTCAATCCATCGCGAATAATGCTGCCAGTGGTCTCGCAGTAGCTCAAGAGCGTCTACTGATGTGCAGCTATCGAAGACGAATTTAAAATCCTCCGAGAGTTTAAAGTGGTCAGGAGAGTTAGCTGACAAGTTGGTGACAAGTCTAGGCATCCGCTCGAGGCCGAAAGATTTGCAGAGAAATATCAGCCAACCAGTGTCATTTGAGACAGCCTCGAGGTAACTAGGGTGGACGAAGAGATATCTTTTCTCGAGCTGCTTTGTAATATTAGCCAGCGTCGACTCCTTGTCGAAGGTTCCATGGATATATAGATCTAAGCTCAGGCGAGAGACGCCCTTCTTGGTTGTAGCGAGCCAGAGGGTCGCGCGTTGGTCACCGGGCCGCGGGCACCACGAAGACTTGTAGAGAAACAAGGCATGTGAGAGCAACTGGCCAGCGTCGAGCCTTAGGGACTTAAACCATTCCTGGCTATGCATTTCTATAATCAGCTTGCTAATTTCAGCAGTGTCGCAATCCGTCACATGCAGATGTCGGAACAAACTCTGTCGCTCAAAGTCGTCCTCGGCTTCTTGGTCCACGATGTCTGCCATGACGATGACGCTGCTTGGGATATCAAGGCCACGGGCATTCTTCGAGAAAAAAATTCTTCTGTTGCGAGCCGAGACCCATTCGACAGAATGTTGCGGTGGTTGGCTCCTTCTCAGCGGTATGATTTCCATGTCTAATATCAATTCTCTGTAAGCGCGTTCCGTTGCTAACTTCAGTAGGACCTTCGCAAGTTGTGAATGCCATTCCTTGGGCATTCCTCGGAAAGTCCCAGGTTCGTGTGAAATCATCCATGCGAGGTGACGCAGAAACTGCTCAGGAGACAAGATTTTGACCTTGAGAGTGCAGAGTTTGTCAATCACCCAGTCCGGGTACTTTAGCGATAAGTAAGTCGTGGCCGTGTGGGAGCTTAGCGTAAAAGGGGTGCCGTCAGCTCCCGCAAACTTCTTTTGTGGAACATAAATGAGAGACGACGGGATGGCCATAATTTCCGCAGAGGGTTCACAGGAATGTAACAAAGGTTCCTTAGCTAGCCGCTCTAGGATTTTATTCTTCACCGGGTCGAAGAAAGAATGAATGTCATCAACAGGTAGGTATCTCGGCCAATAGTACTTCAGCTTTCCCGAGTTCAAGCGTTTCATGGTCTTTACAAATGCATCGGCCGCCGCGTTACGGATGACACGATTCCATGAAGAAGAAGTGTCGATATCTTGTCGACTAGCTGTAAGCAGAAACTCTCCATGTAACAGGAACTAGGACACGGTTAAACACAGGCCTTAATTAACCCCCTTGGATTCTTACCCGAAAACCATAGCTTTTGATGGGCAAGAAAGCATACACGCTCTGAGAATCTAGCGTTGATCCCGTATTGAAGTCGGTTACTGGAAATGCGAGTAGGATTTCGGATTCTGAGCATTTGGGACGTTTGGGCTCAACAGGGAGCCCAATAACTCGATGTTTCGTGACGAGATACTGAGAATCTCTGTTGTCTTCATGCAGCGTCGTGATCTTGATATCAGTTTCCTCCACGTCAGTCCTTTGGAGCTTTCGATGCGACGTTTTCCCGTTCTTGTCCGTGATCGTGATATTTATTTCCTTCAGTTTCCGAAGAAAAATGAGTACCCTAGGATCAAGGTTCTTGAGTTCCTGGACGAGTTCTTCTTCATAGTTGTCTAGCTGTAGATGAAACGACGTGAATCCAGGGAGAATCTTTTCGGGAAACGCGGCCCATATTGGTGCAATCAGACCAAGCTGCTCCGCCTTGTCGAATTTGAACGAAAAGTTCCCAGACGAAATAGATACCACTTTGGCCACACGGAAGACTGACTTGAAGCCGATACCCTTTTCGCCGATATGCTGCTTTGAAAAGCCGATTCCATCCTTGGTGCTCTGACCGATTGTACAGATTGCTTGGACATTTTCAATGGAAAAGCCGACCTCATTGCTATCAACTCGGAAGACACCTTTCTTATAGGTGAAATTCAGGGTTGGTCTGGCATCGGGTTTCACAAGCTTGAACGTGTTGTCGTCGGCATTTTGGATAAGTTCCCTAAGAAAATGGGTTGATGTGTTGTAGATTTGTTGGGACAACCTGTTTAGTTCAGTATTGAGACAATAGTCACGATGGAATTATAGGCTGCTAGTACACTTCAAGTGCATTTTCAAGCGCCAGGAGAATCGATTTCTCCTCGCCGATAGATCCATCCAATGTGATATCCCGCCTTATGTCTTCGATAACCTTCCTAGCTTTCGCCGCGGAAGTCATTGCCGATACTGTATTATAAATTTGCTAATAAATATGAAAGGAATATATAAGAAGGCGAGATACAAATCCTAGGAATTCAAGTTCGTATTCCGAGGGCTGTACTACAGCAGTGAGTAGAGCTGTTAGCGCAAATGTTGCTGCCTGATAGATTTTTTTTTTGTTTTTTTTTTTTGTGTTCCATTAACCGAGATCCCTAGTCAATGCACACCCCAAGCGAATGCACACCCTTTTCCCACCAAAACCACCCATTTTTAGACCTTAATAATTAAGTAACTAATAATTAGATTAACTTTAAAATTTGTATATCATTAGTTTTATATATACTAAGTAATATTATAGTATAAAGTTTACGTAATATTATATATTGCGTATTTAATATTAAGCTTAAAGTTTATAAATTACCAGAATTTAATATTATTTAAATAAAATTATAAATAGAATTAAAAACTAAAAACTACTTAATTTTATAGTAATAATATAATTTAGTGAAGGCTTTTATTAACTGGTTTTATTAATATATCCTTATAATAATAAAGTATATTTGAAATATAAACTTTTTTAAAAATATAATTAATATTTATATTATAAAAGTTAATTTTAAAGCTTTTAATAAAGATTTTTATTTTTATAATATAAAAGACAAATCCAAAAGAAGTACTTAATTTTATAAGAATTTATAATATATTTCAAATTCTTAAGTTTTAAAGTCGAATTTATATTTAAATTAATTATATTATATTAAATAAAAGAGTTTCTTATAAAACAAAATTCATAATATTATAAATTAGTATATAGAATATAAAATAAATTAATGGTTTTATTAAAACCGGGCTTATATATATTTTTATATTTAATAAAAACTTTTATATTATTTTTTACTAATAATATTATACTTATTATAAGATTATATAAATATTTTATATATTAGAATAGTCGCTTTTAGCTAACTTTATATAAGGAAGATTAATTTTAATTTTAATTCTTTTTAGTTTTTAATTTAAGTTTCTTTTTTAAAAAAAAGAAATCTTTAAATAAATTTTATATATAAAATTAGAATTTCATATCTAATATATTATTTTATATAAAAATAATGGTATTAACTTATAGCTATATATAAGATAAAGTGAACTTATAAAATTGAAGCTAAAAGTATTTATATATATAAAGATATTAAGTTTTAAATTAAAGAATTTAAGATTTTTGAAAATTTAAATAAAAGCTAATTTAAATAAACTTAATATCTAAAAATAGCTACATATAATATATAAAAGAATACTCTAGCTTCTTCTCTTTTTAACTATAAAAAAATTATATTATTATTATTAATAGTTATTAATACAGGCAAAAATGCGCTCTCTGAGGAGCATAAATTGGGTGCTCCTGGAAGCTTATATAGGGGTGAAACATGCCCAGAAGCTAAGCCCCTGAACACGTGATATTGCACGCACAGGGCGCACCAAGGGGGGGGGTCCTGGTGCTACAACAGTTGTTTAGTAAATAACTATTTAATAATATAAGTTCGGCTGAAATTAGGGTGTGCATTGACTAGGGATCTCGGTTAGTCTTTTTAGCTGCCTAAGGCGCTCTGCAGACACACTATATAGGGTTAGGCTACAGAGGTGGTCACGAGTCCTCGACTCCGCTCCAGAGCTGACAAAGCAAAAAGGAAATCTAAAAATCTAAAAATCTAAAATCAAAGCACCTCCCACTCCATGTGACCTTGCCCCTTGCCCTCCCTTCCGTTTCTATGTGATTTGTTACAATATAACAGCCCCCAGAGGGCTTAGTTGGCCCAGTGTACAATCGTCGCCTTGATCGGCCTCGTCCCCTATTCCAATGGTGAAAGTGTCTTTGTATAGCTCGCAAACTGATCCAGGAGACCAGTGGCAAGCATGAATTTGACGGTTTGGGTATGAGCTTTGTGTCTCTCAGGAAGAGCCTGGCATCTCTGACAATGCTCTTCCCCAAGTACTTGAAACGAGTATCTTCAAGACACTCACAGTCTTCAATGATGTGGCGCACTGTTTGGTAGGCCTGTTCACAGCCGCACCATGGATCTTCTGTACGCTTAATAGTGTTGAGGTATCCGTGGAGCCCGATTTTCTCCGTCCGCATCTGGATCAGGACCCTGCCTGATAGATATTTCAAATAAATTTAGGCGAGTACTCGATCTCCCGTTTAAATGCACGGCCCGCTTGAATGCACGCCTTACTAGAAAACTAAAATATTTAATTACGAGATCAGGGCCGCTTCGCTAAAATTCAAGCCTGGCGGCCCTATGCAAGCTCCGGGGCCAGTCTTTAATTTTGCCCTGATCTCGATTCGAGATTAATTAGATAAAGCTCTCTATTTTTATAAATTACTATATTCCTTAATTATATTTGCAAAGCTCCCCCTTCCCTTTTATAGGCCATTTTAAGCCTTACTTTTACTTATTAAGCTCTCTCTCTTACTTAACCCCCCCTCCCTTTTTTTTTTATTAAATATAGCCACATTGCGCTCGCAAGCTCGCAAGCTCGCACTAATGTGACGTATAAGCGTACGGGAAATTAGTTTTTTTAAGAGCTTTTATTCAAGTAATCCTCTATAGTTACAGGCCGGATTGCAAAGTTTAAGCCTATACTCGCTAGTAGGAGCTAGAACTTGGATCGCATACTCTAATTGCTCGTTTGTGGCCTTCGGGCGAGGGGGAATGGCTCTCTTTTGCTTTGCTTTCCGGACCCGGTTTGCTTTCTTATTCCGTTCCCGGTATGCATTGCATGTAAAGAACTGGCCGAAGTCCGTAAGAGGCTTTTTTCGATTGCAAGAGGAGCAGTATTACTCTTGCGGGCTCTCTTGGGTCTCTTGCGGGCCCTTCCAAGCCTCACTTGCCCCCGTAAGCCCCTTACCACCCGTATTTTCGCCCGCAAAGCTCTCCCTTTCCTCCCGCGAACCCTCCCAAGCCTTATTCCCGCTCGCAGAGCCCTCCCCTTCCTCCCGCGAACCCTCCCAAGCCTCACTCCTACCCGCAGAGCTTTCTCTTTCCTCTCGCGGACCCTCCCAAGCCTCACTCGCCCCTGCAAGCCCCTTACTACCCGTACTTCCACCCGCAAAGCTCCCCTTTCCCCTCGCGAGCCCTCCCAAGCCTCACTTGCACCCGCAGAGCTCTCTCCCTCTCGCAAGCCCTCCCAAGCCTCATTCTCACCCGGAAACCCTCCCCAGCCGTCTTGCAAGCCCGTAGAGCTCCCTTCCTCGTCCGTCAAGCCTTCCCAGCTCTCCTCCCGGTCTATATCCCCCCCCTCTTCCACTTGAGAACCCTCTGCCACACTCTTCTCTGCTTGCAAGCCCTCTCGTAAACTCTCTATATTCGCAGAGCCTGCCCAGCCCTCTCCCACACCTATAGAGCCCTCTTATAGGTCCGTATACCCTATCTACTACTAATACGGGCCCTTATAATACTCCTCTCCCTTTTGCTAGCTCTTAATCTCTTTTTGCATTATATCCTAGCCTTCTATAAATTCCCCTTATATCTACTATTCTTATATATCTAACTATCTTTACTTTTTCTTCTCTTCCTATATTTATATTTATAAGGCCTTCTTTACTATCTATTATATTTATATAAACTATTATATTTATTTCTTTTATAAAACCGGTTTATTTCTTTATTTATAATAAGAATTATATAGAATATATATAATATATAGAATATATATAATATATAGAATATATATAATATATATAATATATATATATCTATAAAAAGGCTTAGTTAAAAAAGAAATTAATTATTAAATAAATATACTTATATATTAAATAGTAATTCGAATTATAAATAAATTATAGAATCCGGTATTTTTTCTTATAATATATATATAAGAATTTAGAAATTAAAGAAATAAGGCAAGTTTAATATTTATAATAATAATATAAGTAAGCTATTATAAAAAGAAAATAGTATATAAATAAAGTTTATAAGTAGAAATATATAAGTAAAGTATATAAATAAAATATATAAGTAAAAAATATAAGTTTTAGTAATTTTATATAAATAAAAACTAGTTATATAATAATATTTAAATTATATAAATCTCATAATAATATTGTATAGATTTATATTTAAAAGTTTATTTTAATTATTTAAGTTTTTATTTTATTTTAATTATTAGAATTCTAAATTTGTTTTAATTATTAAAGCTTTATAAAATAATTTTTTTTTAAATAATACTTTTATAATTTTTAATTTTAATAAATAAATAAAATAAATATATATTATAATATTATAAATTATATTTTATTAAAATTACTTTATTTTAATAATTTTATAAAATATAGAATATATAAGTTATTATAATTCTTAAATATCTAATATCTAAAATACCTAACTAAATATTAAATACTTTATATATATATATATAATATAACTACTTTACTAAAAAAGTATATTTGAAATATATTAGAAATATTTAGGGCTTAGAAAATAAAATAAAAGATCTTTTATAAAAATAATTTAAAACTAAGAAAAAGAAAAACTAGAATATAAGAAATAATAAGAAAATATATATATCTTATAATATATTAGTTTCAAAAAAGCTTAGTTTTCTAAATATTTCTAGTATATTTTAAATACACTTTTTTAATAAAGTAATTATATTATATATATCTAGAAGATATCTAATATCTAATTAGATATTTTAGTTACTAAATATCTAGAAATTGTAATATTATTCTCTTTTTTTAAATAAGTTTATTTCTAAGCTTTATAAAAGTTATTAATTTATCTAATTTTATATTATTTTCTTTTCTAAAATAAATTAGTATTTCAAATATAGCTATTATATATAAAAAGCAAGTATTTTTAATATAATAAAGAATTTTAGAAGTTCTTTTATAACTTTTTTATATATAAAAAACTAAATATATTTTTATAGTTTCTAATAGTTTTAAAAGAAATAAATAGCTATATTATTCTAGAATCTTAAATAGGCCTTTTATTTAATTTCCTAGTTTCTAGTTTAAATAATTGAATTTCTAATATTTTATTTTCGATTTTAAAATTAATTAGATAATAGTATTTATTAGTTTATATTATATATTATTCTTATATTTATTTTATATAATTTATATAATTAATTTATTAATATTTTAGCTTTATTTCTATTTGGTTTTTTTTTAGATAAGCTAATTTTAATAAAAGAATTCTAGTTTAGAGAAATATAAAACTTATAATTCTTTTTAATTATAAATAGAAATTAGCTAATAGTTTTATACTAAAAAAAGGCTTATTAATAATTATATTATAATCTAATTTGCTTTTAAAATAGCTTTTAAAATTTATAATAATATATTACTAAAAGTAATTAGAAACTAGAAAAAAATAAAATAAATTAGATTTCTTATTTCTAAATATATATAATTTCCTATAAATATAATAATTATTATAATATTAATTAATATCTTTATTTATAAATAACTAGTAATATTTTTTTTTTAATAATTAATAAAACTTTATATATCTAGAATATTTAGAAAAAGATTTATTATATATTTCATAAATTAGAACAATTTATAAAAATAATTAGGAAATTATTTTATTTTTTATAATATAAAGTCTTTTATAATATTTAAATATTATTTTTAATTTAGGCTATTATATATAGCTTTTCTAAATCTAATAATATATAATTATTTTATAGAATTTTATTTATAGATTATAAACTATTATATTTTTATAAAAGTAATTATAATAGAATTTATTATAATAGGGGCACTAAAAGGTTACTAAAAGAAGCAAGTCAGGGAGTACTTCTAATATAGTTAATTAACTAAAACTTAAGAAGGAAAGTAAGTCGTGGGAGGTACAAAGCCTTAAGGGCTTATATATGAACTACTAGTATATATACCCGCTAGGATATCCAGGTACTCTCTAATACTGCCCTCTCCTTTTTATAATTCTTTCCAGAGGCTCCCGGGTCTAGTAAGAAAAAAAAAAAAAAAAATAAATAATAATAAGTAATTTTTCTCCTTTCCCAAATCCGTATAACTTCTATAACCCCTATTATAAGCAAAGCGAAAAATAACTACCCTTAATTTCCTATCTTTTCAGATTACTAAAGACTAGAACTTAATATTCTAATAAGAAATCCTAAAAACTATCTCTTCTAAAATATTCACCTGAAAATTAAAATACTATAAGGCTTCTTCTCTTTCTATTTCAACTATTAAAAGCCAGAAAATAAGAATAATATAAGCCAGGATATATATATATTAGTAATATTATAATCCGGGATATTCCGGAATTCGATTTAGGATTATACTAGCTCGTTTTCTAATAGGCTATTATCTAATAATTCGGGTTTAAAGATACTGCCTTTATTAGATTTATCTTTTTTTATATCTTTATTACTATTTATACCTGGTTCTTTTATATTAATATTAATAAATAAATATCTTAATCTATTTATCTATTTCTTATTAATATTTACTATTATTTTTTATAGTACTAGTACTTTTTAATTATAAATCCGTAGGTCTATAGCTATTCTTACCGGTTCTATAGTGCCTGACTTTTGTATTATATTTAAAGTATTACTATTTAGGTTAATTACTAAGCCGCTAGCTACTTTAAGATTCATTAATAATACGAATTCGAATATTTATTATATAGTTTATAATAGATATATAAGTTCGAATATTAATTCCTCTAAAATATTATAGTAGGTAATTTAATAATTCTATAGTTTTGCTTCTTATATTATATATTAAGAGTATAATTAGTAATATATAAACTATACTAGAACTTCCTTATTTATTTACTAGTAGGATACTATATCTCATTTATTATAGTTTACTAATACTACTAGTAAGTAGTTTCTAAATATATAGCTTCTTTCTAAAATAATATTCTTATTATTATACTATTACTACTTTTTATATATAAACTCCGACTTAGTATTTAGTTAAGATAGAAAAACTTTTAGATATATTATTTATTTCTTTCTTTAGTCTAGTAAAGATTTAAATCTTAATTCTCCTAGATTCTTTCCGGTTTTTTCTATTGCCTTTTTTTAAGCCTTATTATATATATTATAAGTAAATACTTTATATAGGATACCTGTATTTATAGCTACTATCTTAGCCTTTACTAGTCTATCTATAGGTCTAGTAATAGTATTTCAATTACTAGTAAATATTACTTATAGGAATTATTATTTATTTAGATTAGTATAATATTAAGCTAGTTTAATAAGGTTATTATTACTATAATATAAGTATTTAATATCTTATTAGGTTAATTATATTACTTTTCTTAGAACGAATTTACTATATATCTTATTATATTATTAGAAATAT